TGATGCAGGACATGAAGACGGGGTACATCACACTCACCTCGCCGCGTGCTATATTCATCAGCAAGCTGATCGGCACGGCGCTCGGTTGCATAGTCAACCCTGTGATATTCTGGGTGTTCTACAAGGAAAAGGCAGGCAACATCAGCCTCTCTGACGTTCCCTACGCCAAGGTGTACCGTGGCATCGCCATGCTTAGCGCCGGCGAAGATGAGATGCCCAAACACAGCTTGGAGATCTCGAGTCTCTTCTTCGTGCTCGCGCTGGCATTGAGCGTGCTCAGGGAGGTGGCCAGGCGGAAGCAATGGCGTGTGGCGCCATACATCCCTTGCACCGTGGCCATCGCGGTGGCTTTCTTTGTGCCACCACGCGTGGTCATTGACATGTTTGTGGGGACCCTGCTGCTGTATTTGTGGAAGCTCACTGACGGCGACAGCGCACGGATATTCTCGTCGGCGGTGGCGTCAGGATTGATCTGCGGTGACGGGTTCGGATCGCTCCTATCATCGATGATGACCATCACGCATGCGCGGGCACCCATCTGCATCAAGTTCTTGTCTCGTGTCGACAATGTGAAATTAGATGCCTTCCTAGCAACACTACACACATCGTAGAATCCAAATGTTCGATCATAGGGGACTTATTAGTGCGTAGTATGTCTTAGCTGTTGTATCCACTTGTAAACGGATTTCAGCCAGAAATTCTGAGGTGAATACAACGTAACTTTTATCTGCATGTGTGAGCATTGTCACTTGCGGCTAAGATTTTTATTCCAATTTGCCTGAAGTATTATGCTCATCTCATTGTCACTTGCAGCCAAAAGTCTGGCTGGAACTATTTGGTACTGAGGAATGGGACCCAAAGGAATTTCGAAAATCTTGAAAATTAAGGAATGAGAAAACTGACAAAACCACTTGAACCTCGAGAGTTAGAGACGTTTGCAATATATGAATAGAATCGTAGATACAAAGATATTTTACAGTTAAGCAGTTTTACGGTCTAAAATAATGGCCATTAGTTTTCTAAAACTAATGGTCATTATAATCTGCCGATTTAGATTTAATATCAATAATCCACTACTAATGGCCATTAGTAAGGGTAATATCGGAAAAAATAAGGTGTGATAGACTTGTGATAGTAATTTTGTTTCTATAAAGAAAATCAAATTTGTAATTTGATCAATCTAGTTAATCATTATTAGTTCCTGAGGTTAGCCGGTCATGGTTGAATTGTCTAGTTCATTATTATTAATAAAACATAAGTTAATTAACTAATAGTAAAATTACTAATATGCCCTCAGACTAATGGCCATTAGTTTTGAAAACTAATGGCCATTATTTTGGACTGTAAAACAAAGTATTTAGTATCCATTATTCAGCTCATACTTAAGTGGATTGTTAAGTGAAAAAATATATGGTCTTAATTAGTAACTTCTTGATACCTTTAACTACTCACTTGCTTCTAAGTACTCATCCCGGCTGTTTTGCATCAAATAACCCAAGCCTATACAACCTGTTATTATGGCACGCTAAGCAAGGCAAAGTAAATTTTCTTTAGCTACAACCTCATGTTTTGTTCACTAGCACTACGTTTTGTTCAGGAAGTCTAACCTTCCCTGAGGAATGAAACTCATCATTCGTGCATTTCAAACAATGGGTTTAGGGAAAAAAAAAAAAAACTCTTTAAGCAATCAATTTACAAGTTTTGATGGCACGCGGACGAAAGAACACAAGAAAATGTGGGCGCTCTCTCCAATTTGGTCCGGATCAGGGACGATATCTGATTTTGATCAGCACCAACTGCTTTGGCATTCTCCTTGAAACTTGTGGCACAAATTGGGAAGCCGTCGCAATGTGAAGCCAGAGCCTATTCATGCAAAGTGCGATTAGCACACCTGTTGAAGGTTGCAGCTTGATAATTAAGGTAATCGATCCGCAAGCTAGAGACCGAAGGTTGCAGCTTGATAATTAAGGTAGTTAATCAATCACAAAGCTAGAGAAATGATCCAGGCACGTCAATGTCGAGATCATGTCACACAGCACTTGTATGTGTTAGAAGATTGAACAAGAGCCTTATTAATTTGTACAATCAGCAAGGCTGTCAAGGAACCAATAGCTTAAAAAATAAGAGAAGATGAATGAAAACGAAAGTGCATGTTACAACTCTACAGCTGGTACAAGTACTACAAATTAACTGTCAGGACTTACCGAGACACAAGCTCTAAACTAAAACTAGAAGGCACACACTCCTCTGGGCTGGCCTCTTTCTTAGTCTGCTTGAATTCATCAGGTTGTTGATGGACTACTACTCGATCGCAAAAAAGAAATGAATTGAAAAAAAAAATCAAAATCAAGTAAGAGGAAGCTAGTATATATATTATGTGGCGTCTGGGTTGCGCAGCGTCCAGAGGAACTCCTCGACGTGGTAGTTTGTCTCCGCGGAGAAGACCCTCATGCACATGGGCGGGTTGATGTTGAGCAGCGAGAGGATGGAGGACGGCAGCGACCATATCCCGTCGCCGCAGATGAGTCCCGACGCGACGGCGGGCGCGAACATGTGTGCGCGCATGGGGTCGGCCTTGGTCCAGAGGTACAGCACGATGCTCCCCACGCACATGTCGATGGTGAAGAATGATCCGAGGAAGAAGGGCACGGCCATGCCGAGCGCGCTGGGGATGTAGTCCTGCATCCACCAGCCTCGCTGCTTGGCCACCTCCTTGAGCGCGCAGATGGCCATGGCGAGGAGGAAGAATGCGAGGCAGAAGCGGAGGCAGTACTTGGGTAGCTGGTTCCATCCGTTGACGCCGAGCAGCGCGATGCCTCGGTAGATCTTGGCGTAGGGGGCCGGGTACCCTTCCTCGAGGCCGACGTCGTAGGCCTTGTAGAAGATCCAGAAGACGACTGGGCTGATGATGCAGCCCAGGCCCGTGCCCATGACCTGGCTCACGAACATGGACCGCGGGGATGTGAGCGTGAGGTACCCGGTCTTGAAGTCCTGGATGAGGTCGGAGGCCGTGGAGACGATGCCCATCATGAGGCCGCACGCGGCGAGCCCGGCCACGACGCCGCCGTTCTCGGCGCCGATGCTGGCGCCGAAGATGAAGATGGCGAGCTTGCCGTAGCTGCTGGAGAGGGACCAGTCGGTGAGTCCGGTCCCGTAGGCGTTGCAGAAGGCGAAGACGGGGGCGACGGCGTAGGCCCAGACGACGTGCACCGGCTTGAGCTGGCGGAAGATGTGCGGGATGGCCACCACGGAGATGGCCGCCAGCAGCACGTAGGCCCCCGCCGCGATCGACGTCGGGATCTGGTCCTTGAGGAAGATCTGCGTCCGCCGCCGGTCGTCGAAGCTCAGCGCCTGCCGCTCGTTGCTGTCCACGCCCGCGAACGGCTTCTGCGCCGCCTCCGCGGGGCGGCGCCTTTTCAGGTACATGTCGTACGACGTCCTCACCAGGATCGTGAGAAAATTGAAGAGACCGTCGCCGATGATCATGGCGATGGAGATGAAGATCTGGTAGCCGTTGAGGCCGTGGAGGCTGCTGCGCGGCAGCCGCGAGTCGTACCACATGCCCCTCTTGCTCTCGATGTACGGCCACATGATGCCCCACGACACCACGGAACCCAGCAGCAAGGAGAAGTTGATGATGTAGGGGCAGATCATCCCCACGCCGACGTACGTCGCCGAGAAGTCGAAGTAGAATCTCCGGCGGTACGCCTCCATCCCGAACGTGGGGAAGGAGCTGAAGCCGCACCCGGGCCCCGCGGAGTAGAACCACTGGAACAGCGACCAGAGGAAGCTGCCCGCGAACGACTTGAACAGAATCGAGACCTGCTGCTTGGCGTTGATGGCGCCCTGCGGCGTGTGGAAGCTGTTGATGAGGTGCGCCGTGGCCGACCCGCTCGGGTACGTCAGCTTGTAGCTGATGATCATGATCTTGCGCAGCGGCACGATGGAGAAGAGACCCACGAAGCTCACCAGGAACAGGAACGCGATCAGGCGGCCCAGCGACGGCTCCTCCACGTTGATGCTCGTCTTCGCCTCGTCGAACCCTTCCGCGATCTTCTTGCTCATCCCCAGAATGTACGTCCCAAATCCTCCGGAGAAGGCGATGCTGGAGCAGGAGATGACGCACGTCTGCACCACCGTGTTCTCCTGCCGCGTGAACGGTTTCGGGAACACGCCGCACCGCTCCAGGCAGCTCGTCCACGTCTTCATCAGGAAGAAGGCCAGCAGCCCCGCCGACATGTTGAGCGACGGCACGATCCCGGACGTCAGGTTCAGCTTCATCACGATGAAGCTCAGGAACAGGCCCAGCGCCGAGCTCACCACCACGGAACGCACCGTGATCTGCTCCGACCACGCCGGCAATGTCTCCCCCTCGAACGCCTTCTCCGTCGACAGCGCCTCCCGCGCCGCCTCCAAGCCCTCCATTACTCAATTGTTATCGACCGCCTCAATCCCACGACGATCAATTGCCTCCTCTCCTCCGCTTGTTACCTCCTCCTCCTCCTGGTACGTGCCCGTCCCGGACGACACCGTCCGGAACCAGAGGATCTGATCGAGGGGAATGAGAGTTGAACCAACAACCGAGAGAGACAGGAGGAGAGGCAAACGACCAGCGCTACATGCAGAGGAGGGCTAACTAGTGGCTGCCACAAAGTGTCTGGTGTCTGTGCTCTTCCCTCTCTTCTCTACAATAGGATACATCACTACCAGCACGCACTGAAATGTCGTTGCAGCAGGGACAACCTCTGGTGATTAATCTCGACTTATCTTCTTGTCTCTTTGTTTTCTTTTAAAAAAAAATTAAACTGATGATGAGTTTCTTGTGGTCATCTGCAGGGCTATGCAGCGGATGGTTGTCATGCATTCTCGTACCTATTCTAGTGAGCTTACTCTGGGAACCACTGGGACTAACGGCTAATTTTGGCAAGGGACTGATTACGTGGCGACTTGGTAGGAGTCCCTGCTAAACAAGTAGTCTAATAAAAGTATCCTGTCACCAAGGTTTCGTGGTGTAGTTGGTTATCACGTCAGTCTAACACACTGAAGGTCCCCGGTTCGAGCCCGGGCGAAACCACTTTTTTGTTTTAAAATTTTCCTGCCATTTCCCATTTGTCTTTTTGGGTCAACGACTGTAGCAGATCGTGCTGTTATGTACTCTTTCATTTTTTATGGGTGCTGTTTTGTACTTATAAAGCTATTCCAATACCTTGAACAGCACAAGTTCATGCGTTTAGATCTTTCTTGGTTCCCTCCCGGTCGTCCTGGCCTTTTTTTTTTCCCCTTCCCTTGTTTTTATCTTTGGCTTTTGTGACCCTGCCAGGCGTTCGCCCGCGGCCACCACCAAGGCAGTTTCCTCTACATTTTCCCTCAAAAACAGAGTTCTCAAACTGTCTAGAGACCACCTTTATGCAAGCCTTCTTTCAAGGAATGCTTTCCTGATCCCTTCCCGTGTTGCAACATGCAAATGTTCAACAAACGGTTCAGTCCAATTAGTTGCGCACAGTTTCTGAATTTTCTGATTATGCTTTAATTCTTCAGGTTCATTGTACAATGATTGACCCATCATGGAGCAGTAGCACGCTGACGCAGTCTGAGGAATGCTTCCATTTCAGCGCTATGGACGCATAGGGGCCGCCCCAGACCCTCTTGACCCATCCATCCATCCAAACACACTCTTAGTAGAACTTTGATTCAAGACATTTCTTTTTTTGGAGATAGCAAGCGCATCATGGGACACAGTCTGAGGAATGTTGCCCCATTTCAGCCAGCTGCGGAAGCATGGGTGCCACGACTTTTAGCAGATAATTTTATTGAAGTAATTTTTTTTTGGAAGAGATAACAAGCATGCGTGGCAGCTACAATCTGTGCCCGGTTTGCCGCTCTAATTAACGCTTGGAAATGAGCTCCGATCGAATCCCGCATCTGCCCGATATGGAGGTCATCGTCAGTATCGATGACTCACGTAATAGCGGCAGTTGTAGCAGCTGGGCGGATCATATGCTTCCTTGACGGAATCGGCGGGCAGATGCACATATCAGTCACCAGTGTCAATGGAACGGAGTACAAATAAGCATGAGATAATTTATTAATCAAACCTCCATGGAACACGAGACAGGAGGACAGAACAAAGGTACAGCTGGAGTAGCACTGGTATTAGCAGCACAGATCGCCATCTCAACCACGAGGCCTCCTCTCCTCTCTTCTCCCTTGACACTCCTCAAAGATTCCCTCCTCTCCTCCTCTCCCCCTCCTCCTTCCGCATGGCCGGCGAATTGCGCCTCCGTCGCCCGCCGGCGCCGGAAGGAGAGGGCGCGGCTGCCGCCTCCTCCTCCAATGGCAAGGCCGGGCCCTCGTCCGGCGGCGAGGGGAGCAAGAGGAGGGAGGCGCTGGGGTGGCTGGAGTGGGGGCGCGGCTGGCTCGCCATCGTCGGGGAGTTCTTCTTCCAGCGCATCGTAGCCAGCCACCTGGCCAACCCGCTCGAGTTGCCCCCGCTGGAGGGTGTCTCCATCATTGTCACCGGCGCCACCAGTGGCATCGGCCTCGAGATCGCCAGGTCCCTTCACGTATTCCTTCCCTCGTTGCTTTTCGTGCTCTTACGGATGCAATAGATTCAGTATCCAAAGATTTTCTGTCGATTTTGTTGGACCCTTCGTCGTGTGGACAACTAAAGATGGATCTTTTACCCAGCCATTACAATTAAAATTCTCCAGAATAGTTGCAACATTTGCCTGCTACGCTAAATATTCAGAAAACAGTAACATCGGTGTATCGCTACTGAATGAAGTGGCCTGACCACGAACTGAAGTACTCCCCCGTTAAAAATAAATAAATATAGGAGAGTAAACTTGACTGCTTTTGATTATAGGATGGTTTATGTAGTTTCTCCATTCAGGTTAAAATCGTGTGCATTATATTATGTTCAACCTAAAATCAGTAGAAGTATATAATAGCAAATTATGATGCATGTCTCTCTCGTTTATGCACATGTTGAATTAAGTTGTGGGGGGCCCCATCGAGTATTTGTTTGTATTAAATCTTCAATGTCAAAATGAACTACTTCACAGGCGTATTTTGCTAACTATTGAACCTGTATAATCTCATCTGGTCGTTTAGTATCTTAACATGCCCTGTTCCGTTGATCTGAAAGCTTCTTTTGAGGAATTCCACATACAAGGGGAAAAGAAACTTTCAAAACTACTATGCAACGGAATATCTCTCTTTTTGCTCTCCTTGTATTTGTATTGAAGCAACTAAGTCTCCTTTTTACCTTTAATTCTTCTTCAAATTTGTGATTTTTTACAAGAATTTATACTTACATGAAATATGGTACAAAAAAATAAAAAGCAGTAATTTCATAAGAGGCTAGCATCTTGATCTGAGGTTGACACTAATTGGATCCTCTTGTTACCTTCACGGTCAAAACAGACAACTCGCGCTGGCTGGGGCACATGTTGTGATGGCTGTTAGGAGACCCAAGGTAGCACAAGAGTTGATTCAGAAATGGCAGAATTCAGAAAATGAAAGGCCACTAAATGCTGAGGTAATTTGAAGACACTTGCTACAGGGGGAGGGCTTATAACGTGTTAACTATATTTTATTCTGTGTGATCTGATTGTTGTCTGCCTATGTAATTTTTTGCCCCCCGATCAAAGACAAGTTCTATGTGAATATTAAACAATATCCGTGCATGCACGTAAACTACATATGTTTCCCATTTCTGTGTTCACATTTGACATCTACAATCAGTCACTAGAGATGCGTTATCTTGCTTTGAAGGACTAAAAGGCACACTTATCACTATTGGTTTGGCTGCAAAGTATTTGGCATTGTTTAAACATTACACTTTTAGGTGATGGAACTTGACTTGCTCTCCCTCGATTCGGTTGTGAAATTTGCTGATGCCTGGAATGCTCGTATGGCGCCCCTACATGTATTGATCAACAATGCTGGCATCTTTGCTATAGGAGGTCTGTGTCTTAATTGTTAATGTGATCCTTTGGATAATAACATACTAAATCTGTTCACATTATGTTGTATAAGAGATAATCAAATTCGTTGCCTTTTCTTTAGAGCCTCAGCGTTTTTCCAAGGATGGTCATGAAGAACACATGCAAGTAAACCATCTTGCACCTGCATTACTGGCGATGTTGCTTATGCCTTCCCTTCTTCGAGGTTCTCCCAGCAGAATTGTAAACGTTAATTCAATTGTGAGTTTCCTACTCCCAGAAGTTCTTCTCTAGTGGGTACTGCAGTCACATTTTTTTTTTACTGTCAAAGCAATCAGTTCGTTATCCTAGCCCGGATATATTGAATTCTGATTTCAATTCAAAATCAGCTAAGTAATAAATCTGTAATTCTTTTGCGAATGCATTAGCAGCATATGACATGTTTGTCTCAATTACAGATGCACACAGTAGGTTATGTTGATGCTGAAGATATGAACTTGAGATCCGGAAAACAGAAGTATAAAAGTTGGTTGGGTTACTCAAACAGCAAGTTGGCGCAGGTATCATACTTGTGACTTGCTCTCTTTGAGCCTTTGACCTATTCATGCATGTTATTTCTTTTTAATTAAGCCTTAAATATTGTGGCTTCACTCTCAGATAAAATTTAGCAGCATGCTTCATAAGAGAATTCCTGCAGAAGCTGGTATCAACGTGGTTTGCGTCTCTCCTGGGATCGTTGACACTAATGTTGTGAGTTCCACAACCAATCCTTTTTTTTTAATTGGGTTGATTATTTGTGCTGTTTCGGCAAGTCAAATGATAGGTTGCTTCAGAGCAGCTGGTGGTTGTACTATTTGGTGTAAGAAATTTAGAATCAGGAGTAGCAAGCTAATTGCTAACAGTTGTGCGGCCCTCGGTGCAGTAATGTCGTCAGTACCTAGCCCTTTCAGTTTTACTGCTTTCAAGACTTGAATTTTGGTAGATTTTAATTTCTGCATGAACCGATTACAACTCTTTGTAATTTGGTTTCGTGAGTAATGAAATTCTGGGCGAGCCCTATGGTCGGAAAAAATGATGTATTTGTTATGACACGTCTGCCTAATCAACATTCACAATTTAGGAAATACATGGAGGATTTGCTATTATATGATTGGTTCACATGTATATGAGTTCCAACACTACTCCTAACAAAGTATCTTTATCATCCATCCTGATGAATCACATTACATTTTATCGGTATATTCTTCTTTCCTTTCGTCTATATATTCAGTAAATGTTGGCTTAATATTACTTATATGACACAGGCGAGAGACCTTCCTAAGATTGTTGTCGCTGCTTATCATTTGATTCCTTACTTCATATTTGATGCCCAAGAAGGTGAAGTTAATGAATCTGTGTTGTTGCCTTATCTCAGCTAACTTGATACATACATCTTCTGATACTCACAGATATCTCGTATTGGATCTAATTCAGGTTCAAGAAGTACACTATTTGCCGCATCCGACCCCCAAGTTCCAGAATACTGCGAGATGTTGAAGTCTGAAGACTGGCCTGTTTGTGCTTGCATCTCATATGACTGTAATCCAATGAATGCATCTGAAGAAGCACATAACCTTGAAACTACGCAGCTAGTCTGGGAAAAGACACTCGAATTGATTGGCCTTCCATCAGATGCCTTGGAGAAGCTTATTGAAGGGGAATCAGTTCAGTGCCGTTATGGACAACAGAATGCTGAATAGGATATCTTACAGATCCAGTTCGTACACCTTTTAGCTTGCAGTTTCAGTTCTGGGTTAGAGCACCTTTCTTACATGTATCATTGTTCTAGTTTTGAGGTCATGACCCACGGGGAGTTTTTTTTTTTTTTTTTTTTTGTTGTTGTGAAAACAGTATATTGTTAAGTACTCCTAGTGGTAGAAATACACCTTCCCATATTTGTGATCAATAACTGTATTACACCTGGGACGAAAATTGGATGAGCTATGAACTCCAAGTCTCTTTTTCCTGCATGAAGCAATTTTTGCTGTGAGCAAGTGCATATTCTCTCTCTCTCTCTCTCTCTCTCTCTCTCTCTCTCTCTCTCTCTCTCTCATGCAATGCATGTGTTCACAGATCACAGCTAAAAGAA